TTCAGCAGGTGTGACAGAATTAAAAAGGGAAGATAGCTGCCCAGGTACAGTGTGATTCCTTTGCAGTATTAACACTGCAGGGATCTCTCCATCTTCATCGGTGGGGTGGGGTCGGGGAGCGAGAGAAAGAGAGAAAAAAAGTCTGGCTTCACATATCACTTTTAGCCAATGTTTGTTGAATAAGTCACAGTGGCTGGATTCTGCCAACATCCTGAGTTACAGACAGAGGCAAAGCATATGTTTTCCAAGCAAACTTAGGCCCTCATGCCTAAGACACTTTAGAAATATGTGCTGATTCAAAACTGTATCTATCGACACTGAAATAGCACCCTCTAGATCCATGGCTCTGCAAAGAAGGAAAACTAGGGCAGAAGGGAGAGAAAGAGAACAAATGAAAGGCAGGCGAATACGGAGTCACCTCAGTTTTACATCCTTGGCCTTAGTTACTGCAGGATTTGTTGACATCTGCTCAGCAGAAACAAAAGACCCCCGGAATACATCCAGCATCAGAAAAACGCACACCCTTTTCTCCCAACTCGCACCACAAGGGCTCGCATTACCTTAAACTTCGCAACTGATGGGCTAATTCCAGCGGGAGCAAACTCCCGAACTGAAGAGACCTTCTCAGCTTCTCCGCGTTCGCCTTCCCTTTCTTTGCCAGCTTGACTTCCTCGCCCCCTCCCCCGCCTCACTTACTCCCTCGCCTACTCATTCGGCCCGACTCAAGCCGAGACGCGCACCTGGCGGCCGCAATTACAGCCGCTTCCTCCCTGGCGAAAGAGGTGGGCGGAAAGGCGGGCAGGGGCAGATTTGCAACCGAATGAAGCATTCGAGGTGGCTTGAGCCTAAACAAGTCCCAGCAGCCCCTCGGCCTGCTCAGGAATGCGCGCGGCTGGATTCCATTCCCAGAAGAGAGAAACTCACCCCCGCGGGCGGGGATGGCGGGATAAAAGCGGAAAAGAACTCGCAGGAGGGCCGCCCAGTCGCCGGCTAAGTGACCCAGGGACCCTCACCCTCTTTGTAGAAAGGAGCAGACGGGCAGGGACCGTGAGGGAGGCTGGCTGTAGGTGGCATTTTTAGTGTTTACCCAGCGCTTTGCGCGTGTTCCTTGCGTACGCGTTAACCTCAGCAGGTTAGCTGCATGGGAGGTGTGGTGACTGCTAAAGCGCAGGAGGTTCGTGTGAGGGTTTGTGGCCGGGCTGGCAGGCATAATGCGATAGCTTTGCTTTTGGCTTAGCGCCTGGTGGGAACCCGGCCATTGTGGTTTACGAGCCATGCTTGATGGCTTCGCGGGTGGTGTAAATCTAGCCCGTTGTGGTTGATTTAATAAGCTAGGGTTAAACATTGCCGTCGCGTAAAGCGTGGATTCGACGGGGAGCTTGCATGCAGAGGTGCCTCAGAGCTATATCTGGCGACGGAAATTCAGGCACCTACGGCGAAGTGCTAGGGCCGGAGAGCGACAAGCGATGGGGCAGCAGCGAAGAGGTTTGGTGATGTTATAAGGCACCCGAGGGCTTGGCCACACCTCTTGTTTTGCATCTCTTTTTTTAAAAAGCATTTTGTCACCTGGGTGAGCATCTATATCAGTGTTTCTCAACCTTAGCAACTTTAAGATATGTGGACTTCAGCTCCCAGAATTTCCATGGCTGGCTGGGGAATTCTAGGAGCTGAAGTCTGCATATCTTAAAGTTGCCAAGATTGAGAAACACTGATCTATATAGTTAATGATGTTCCTTTTAATATTTTTAGTTCTAAAATATAACATTTTTTTCTGGAGTAAAATAGTGCTTTTCCCATGTAAAACATAGGGCTATTTAAAGAAGGACTAGGGTTCCAGAAGAAATAAGTGTATCATTGTTTTTAAGTAAGTATACACACCCCAAGGTAATCCAATAAAATTCCACTTGTTAAGGGTAGGTTGCCTATTCTTCTCCATAGGTTCCTTGCATATGCAAGGAGCATGCTCATTTTAGATCAGTACCACCCTTGCATATTCCTCCAATGCCTTTGGGTTTCAAAAGGTCAGTGATGGGTAGCTTTCAGTCCAGGAGAAATGCTCCAACACAGATTAGCAGCCCTTTCTAGCAGCTTTGGTGGGAATGTCTACCTGTATATTACTTTCTCCTTTCTGAAGCCAAACCATAATGATACCTCGGCTTCTTTCTCCCATCCTTATCTATTGAATGGAGGAAACTTTTCCCACTCCGCTGACAGTGGCCAGCTTGTCTCCCTGCTTCTCTTAGTCCACAAAGGGAATACAGCAAGGGGAACAGTATGGATGTGGGATGATTGCCTCCTTGTTTTTGCATTCCCATGTCGTCTGGATACCACTTGCAGGGCAGAACCTGACTATGTGTGCCAGTGTTGAAGTCAGTAACAAAAGTAGGGAAATCCCCCAGTGATCTGAGAATAAGTACCATTAAACTTATTTCCGACCACTTACATTCAACTTGTAAAACACATCAAATTTTAACCAAAGATTTCCAGGTAGCTGTAATATGTTTTGCTTTTAACTGGCACTGCACCATTCTTGCAAAGAAGCGTTCCGATTTAAACTGCCTGAGTGAATTAAGGTCCCTGTTTAAAAAAAAAACAAAGGCATATTTTTTATTACTTCCCTCATTCCCAAACATTGTGCTATTCTGGCACAAATTTGAGTCCAGCTTGAAAGTCTTGTTATCACCTGATTCACTTGCCTGATTTAGCACTTGGACAGATAACATTCCCACTCCTGCTCTGGAAAAAGAAGACCTTGAATTGTATTCCCAAACAATGTCCTTCCATTGATTATTATCCCCATACTATAGATTTGAGAAAGAGAAATTGCAAAAGACTGAAACCATGATCTTCTGTATGCAAAGCTTAAGTATTACAATCAAACTTTGGACTATATGCCTGTGTAGTCCAGGATAGCCTCTATTCTGATTGGCAGAGGCTTTCCAGAATCTTGAGCAAAGAAAGGCATTCCCCTCTTTTTAACTAGGAGTACTGTAATAGTGATTATCCATCTTGGGATCATGCTCAAAGGCAACCTAGTTTTCCTTAGCACAGCCTACTTCCAATGCTGCACGACAGAAAAATAAAAGCAGACTAACCAATGGAATTAATATTTTATTTTTTGATTTTATACATTTTTAATAGTTAGCATAGGCTAATAGTTAGTGTTGGCTATAAATCTTTTTCCTATGCAAGACAAATAAAGAATTTAAAGAGCTTCTGAGACTGCAGCTATTAACAAACAACACAAGGAAGGCAAATGCCTCCCCTGTGGTGCATAGGGTGGGAGAACAGGAAGAAATCTACAGTGGCTTCTAGGGAACACTAATATATCAGTATGCAGCAATAACAGTTCATGCATTCTGTTTCCCAAGACAAAAAATAAAATTGGTATATATCCTATGGTTAAAAAAAATGGAATATTTTATTAAACAACCCCCTCCTCCAAATCTGACCTATAAAATGGGACACCTCACTCTGGTAAATGGGAGGATTGGCCTCAGCAGGTGTGAAAATGTGCTATTATGTATTTTTTTACATTTAGGAACTGCATTTCGGCAAACTTCCAAGGCAGCCTTTAAAAAAAAAAAAATCAAAGCAACAAAGCCAATTAAAATATTTAAAATATTAAAAGGACAATCGAAACAATAAAAACCACCCAGCAGCATTAACTATTCAAAATGTTCAAAAGCTAGAACACATTAAAAAAAACCCCACAAATTAACTATTAAAAATATGTAAGGACAGGAAAATATTTAACCAGCACCTAAATGAAAAGTAAAGCCTGCAAGAGATAGGCAATTGCAGAAAATGGAAGTGTTTGTGAAGTTGAAAGATAGCAAGCGCAGAAAGTGGGTTCTTGTTGAATTGTTCATGAAAGTGGGCCCTTGCTGCCTTGGACATATATTCTTCTCTCCTTAATAGATTCTATCAGTCACTTGAGTTTGAAATTATGTAATACTGCCTTTCTTTTAGTTCATCTAAGCTCAAGGTTTATTTACCTTTGCTTTGTATTTGAAATTACTTGCCATGCAGCTGGTCTGAATAATACTAAAAATTAGTTTTTATATTGCTTCCTAAATCTTTCAGTTAAATAACTTCAATAATTTATACGAAATCTCTGTAAGATTGAGTGGTATTAGCCTTGCACTGCAAGCAAGGCTGGGTTTGGATTCACAGGGCATTCAATAAAACCCAGCTGGTGGCAGGGCTGTCCACAGTGTATGGTTGGAAAAGTCCAGATCGTGTCCATGACTGTGCAACAGAAGCTTCCCCTGTTTTTTATGTGTGTCACATGTACTGCCATAAGGAGCATGACCAGCTACAAAGCATTCATTTATCATACTGCTTCCTGCTGTCCTCTCCTCCAGAGCATTCCCTGC